TATTAGTCCCATGATATGGAACATCCTTTGCCCTGGTCTCCCTCTGGACAAATCCTATTCAGCATTCAAGGTTTCACTTAAGTTCACGTTCTCCCAAAAAAAATTCTGGTCTTCATCAACCATCTCTTCTCCTCTGATCTCCACCCTCAAACACTTTCAAATAGATCGCTAGCAACGAGAGATATCCCATGACATAGCATTAATTGCAAAACAACTGCTGTAAGCACACTAAAACAGCTTGATTGAGAAAGTCTCTTATCCCTGGCAGTGGAGGTAGCATCATGCAAACCAAGTTCATATGGTTTAGGAAAAATGGCCCATCTAGGAATGAATCCCTACTCTGATACTACCTATATGGTCTTAGGAATATGGCTTTACCCCCCCCCCAGAGCCTCATTTTGCAAGGTTAAAATTAGATTGGCATAGCAGTGAAGATGCTGGTATGGGACACCCACATCCCATATGAGAGTACCTGGGTTCACTCCACTTCCCATTCCAGCTTCTGGCTAATACACACTCAGGGAACCAGCAGCTGATGGCTCAAGTATTTGAGTCCCATCCACTCAATGGGAGACCTGGATTGAGTTTCTGGCTCCTGGCTTCAGTTTGGCCTAGGCTCAGCTGTTGTAGGTATTTGGAGAGTAAACAAGTAAATAGGAGCTCTCAAACAAATAAATTTTAATTGGATTACACAGAAGCCCCTTTCCTGAACACTGGAGCTACAAAGATAAATGTGATAAAGTCCCAACCTTGACAAAGCTCACTGTCTCTGGGTAACTCATTTGTAGTAGCCTTAGTTTGTTTGAGGGCAATGTGTAAGTGGCATTTGGGAAGTAGTTAGCAGGAAATAGTAGGACAGAAATTGAAGAGGGAGAAAGTTGAGTCTGATGCTACTTGAGAATTGCACATATGTGCTAAAGGCAGGGAAAGGGTGAGAGCATTAGGAACAAATATGGAAGAAGATTTGAGATCATTCCAAATGGAATAAAATTGCAGAGTTCACTTCATTTTAGATTTAAGAAGATAGAGGAGATTGATGAAGAATCTTGACTCAAACTCCTAGCCAAGGAGAAATGCAAGAAGAAAAAGGAATGGGATAACTGGAGAAGAGCTGGTTTGGGTGGTGGGAGAGATCAATCTTCCACCAAGACCACAGGTGTGTGTCTCACAGACAACAAGCATCTGTCTCAAAGTCAAACAGCTTCTTCTTTCACAGCCCCATTGAGTCATTTCATCTCTCCATCCTTGTCCAGCTGGATTTCATCTACATGAAATTCAGCAATGAGTTGGACAATCCACTAGGTTTGCCAGACCTAAGAAAACTGTGCAACACCAATAAGAAATGCATTCTCCCTTCATGAATCTTATTTATTGGTCCTACTTGACTTTTATGGCTAAGATGACTTCAATTTAAAATAGCCCAAGTTCCTCTTGACCATTCTTCCAAGATTACAAATATCCAACTGTCCTCTGATATTGCCTTGGCAAAGTGAGAGAGCTTGGTCAGTTACAACTGGGGGAGCTGCTTCTGCATTCTAAGCCAGTAACTGCCGCAAGGTCTGGCTAACATCTGCCTCAACCCCCACTAGTCACTAGGCATGCTCACTGCAGCTCACAAAGGTGATCCTTTAATTTATACTTCATGTAGATGAAAAAATAATGTATGCATTTCCCCTGACCTGCAATTCTAGAAACTTATCCAAAGGAAATAATCATAAGTGCATATGATGATTTGATTGCAAACTCATCTGTTAAGGCCTTTTAGACTGGGAGGAGAAAAGAACAAAAAATAGACGGACATTTTGAGTGCAAAACATTAAGGGAATATTTAAATAAATTGCCATATATGCACATAATGGAATATTAGTCAATTAAAAAGTTATAAAGGCATTTTAACAGCATGGAGAAATATTTGAAAGACATTGTAATAAGTTTTAAAAAGTAACAGAAATGCATATGTTTTGTTCTCAGTTTTGCAACATCTATCACATATATTTACATACATATGTATATTTGTATACATGAACACAATTATAAAGACATGAACACATGCTCAGAGACAAATGACCTGGGAAGATATAAATATTGTTTTCTCTTAAGTAGAGAGATTAAATATATTTTTCATTTTCTTCTTTGTACTTTTCTATATTTTCTAATTATCTTTTGAAACTTTTGCAATCAGAAACAAAAAGAATGTTAAAGGGAAATTGGCCATAAAATAGATCATGGTTTGGGAGTAAGAAACTATTAGGGATGACAAGTCTGCTTTAGAACACTTACTTCATAGGGCCAGCGCTGTGGCACAGTGGGTTAAAGCCCTGGCCTGAAGCGCTGGCATCCCATATGGGCTCTGGTTCTAGTCCTGGCTATTCCTCTTCAATCCAGCTCTCTGCTAGGGCCTGGGAAAGCAGTTCCAGATGGCCCAAAGTCCTTGGGTCCCTACACCTGTGAGGGAGACCCAGAAGAAGCTCCTGGCTCCTGTCTTCGGATCACTCAGCTCCGGCCGTTGCAGCCATTCCAGCAGATGGAAGACCTCTCTCTCTCACTGCCTCTACCTCTCTCTGTCACTCTGTCTTTCAAATAAATAAAACAAATCTTTCAAATAAATAAAATAAATATTTTTTAAAAAGAACACTTACTCCTTCAGTACTAAAGGGCTACATTTTTTATTTGTTTGAACCATGAGATGGTCAATCTTTTCACCTCCTGCCACAAGATGCCCGATGGCTCACTCACCCAGTCCTCTCCCCACACATTACCACCTGCCCACATCCACAGAAACACAGACCCCAAGCTACAGATGCCTTCACGGAAACCCTATGTCTTGCTCATCTTGCTGTAAAGCCCTCATTGCCAACAAGTTGCTAGCATTTTGAGACTGAATTTATCAATTTTTAAAATTTATCCTTTGTCCACAAAAAACTACATCTGGATAATTGTAGTTGCACATTTTATGACCCACTCATTCCCTACCTCTACTATCATTTTTCTTGCACCACAATCCCTTAATTTTTTTTTAAATAAACCTCTTTTAACTCCATTTTCCATGAACTATTTTAAAGATTTATTTATTTGAAAGGGAAAGTGACAAAAAAAGAAGAGGCTGTGAGAGAGAGATGTCCTGTCTCTTGATTCACACCCCAAATAGCTTCGACAGCCAGGTCTGGGTTAGGCTGAAGCCAGGAGCCTAGAACTCCGTGTGGGTCTCCCAAGTGAGTGGCAGGGACTCAGCACTTGGGCAGCCAGGTCTGGGTTAGGCTGAAGCCAGGAGCCTAGAACTCCATGTGGGTCTCCCAAGTGAGTGGCAGGGACTCAGCACTTGGGCCATCCTCTGCTGTTTTGCCAGGCACCATAGCAGGAAACTAGACTGGAAGCAGAGCAGCCAGGATGCAAACCAGCCCTTGTATATGGGGTGCTGGCATCACAGAGGTTTCACCAGCTGCATCACAGCAACAGGCCCCTTCTATTCATTTTAATAGCTTCCAGGAAATATCTTTATGTTCTATGGGACAGTCATGATGAAGCGTCTAAGTTGTTTCAAGCTAAGACTCCAAGAGTAGACTTAATCTGAGAAAAGTTTGGGAAATCACTATTTATTCATTCTACGGTTCCCATTTAACTTTTCTGGGCTGAATATTCTCTGCTCTTTAAAAAATGTATTCACTTCTAAACAAGGGCAAGAATTTCATTTTCCTAGGTCACCTAGCCCAATTCAATATTCTTTGTTGTTATGCTCAATTATAAAATGAAAAATTGGAAGAAAACCCAATTTTATTATATAATATAGTCACATGAGCCAGGTTATAAAATGTTAGTCACCATTTCCTTCTGATCATGTTTTCAAGCTTTGTACAAAAGTAGCTTTGCAATACTAAATTTTGTTAGTAGAACAGAGTGTCTGGATTATTTCTTCCTTGAAATATAAGTGAATCTAGTAACTAAGAATTCTTAAAAGGTGAATATCGCATTGAAAGTCATACCACAGGAGCAGAGAACCATAATCTCTTTGATATAGGGCCCCATATTTCAGACATCACTACATATGGTTGGATGAGAATTTTAAAAGAAATAGCTTCTCTTTCTCTCTCTCTCTCTCTCTCTCTCACACACACACACACACACACACACATCTCTTTAGGTAAAGTGAGATTCTTTTCTCATTTGAGGATTAAGTATCGAATGCAAACTTTCAATTGTTTAGCCCATAATTTTCATTAATTACTGTCTGTAACACAGAGTGCTGCTGGGAAATTAAAACATAAAAGCAGTGCACTTTTTTTCCCCTTGTATTTATTGAGCAAGAAAAAGAAATGGAACAATAAGAGATACACTAAGGAAAAGCTCCCAGCTTGTAATATATTAAAGGCATTATTTTAAATGTGCTTCTTCATTCCTCTTGGGCCCGCCCTTTCCCTGAACACAGAATCAACACAGCCTACACGCCGCAAATGTTCTCCAGTTTCACAGCAGCCCTCCACACATCTAGACCTGCTTTTCCACAGCCTTTCTTTTTACATAGCTAAATTCATCAGGGACTCTGGGAGGAAATCATGTCATATTGAGACAATTAAGTTTTGGAATTCTAAAAATAAAACGAAATAAGGATAAATGTGTTGGCAACAGAAGAAGGGTTATTTGGAATATGAGTTTTCAAAGGTTCCTGTCTGAAAGCTATAAACTCTAATTAAAACTGATCTCCACCTAGGATAATCCATCTTTTCCCCCGGTGTTTCAGTTGCACTCTAAAACAGAAGTATAGATTAAATAAATCTGAGTTACGTGAATTAAAGGCATTATATATAATTAACAGCATCTGAAAATGACAAATATATCCTAACCTTCTCCAAAAGTACTCACAGCATTCCCCAAATTCCCCAAATATCACGCCCTTCTAAGCTCACATCATTTTTGCATCTTTGCAGTTACAGCTCACATCTCCCAAGCATCTCCGTCTAGTTTTCCTCCTTGTCAGATGACAAAGTCCCATGACTGATGTTATTTTTTCTCCCTGAGGAAAATATTCATTTTATATATTACTTCAAGCTTTTACACTATCTTTGTGCCCTGAATTTTTTTATCTGAACCTCCAGGTTTCTATTTTCTTTGTCCAATTACTACTTCTCCTTGGCTCTAAGATCTTTCCCAACTCCTCAGGGAAATGTGCCTTTTTCCTGAGCAGCTGCTTGTGCATTTGTTGTTGTCATTTGTTGGTATTGTTGTCCTTTGTTCTGTTTTCCTTGAAGCCTCCTTGTGAAGAGAATATATACAGAATCCAAACTCCCTCTTCGCAGATCACGCAAAGGTAATACAACGAATTCTTGAGAGTCTGAAAGATCTGGATTCAGAACACAGCTTTATGAGTAGGCAAATTAAATCGCCTCCCTTAACCTCAATACCCTCATTTGTAAAATGGGGATTCCAGTAACTACTTCCTAGTGTTGTTGCCAGGATTTGACGGGAGGACATGTGCAAAGACGCCAGGATGCCAGAACACTTCCAGGCATCCCGTAAGTGCTCCCTCTTCCCCTCTATTAATTCTCTTTTTGTTCTCATTAAATGTTAAATCAAGTATTATTTCTTTTGACTACAGATTTCAAGTAACTCATACTTCCTGTAACTCTCTTGAGATTTCTTGGCCTGTACCCTCTGCCTCCCCTAACTTCATCATTTATATATACTGCATACAGGTTTTACATCTATCTTAATTGCTGGTTAAGACATAAGATCTTACTCTATCCCTGCTAGAAAACATTCAAGAAACAGTAAAGAAACACCATCATGGTTTCTGAGTTTTGATTGTTGTCTTCTTTTTCTTCATTTCCAGAAGTCTGGCTAACTGAAATCATTTCAAACTTGAGTTCAGCACTTTTCCTGAGCAAGGTAATCAGTATTTACCAACACCAATTTGGCATACCCCTGCACAAATGTGATATTCAATATAAAAGTGGGTTACAAGAAGCAAATAATCAGAAATTGTAATAAAGTAGAAGAGGGGAAAAATTCTAATAGAGTTCAGGACCACAAATGAGCTGTCCAAATCTATTGTTTATACATGGGCTTAATTTCACCATAATTGCTTGCTCAGCTTAACATAAATCCAGGGGCAGTGTGGGAAAAGGGTGGAGGGAGCCACTTTCCCATGAAGAAATATAAACTGGAATTCAGAGATACAGTAAAAAAAAAAAAAGTTCAACTCTCATCTGACTACATGAGCAAAATTATTTCACTAATGTTCTTTCTGATGTATGTTTTCTCCTTTGTGACAGCTGTAGACAAAATCCACAAAAACTAAAAGGTATCTTTTGCAGCAGAACAAAACAAGCAGTTTGCTCTTCATAACAGGTTGAGAAATGGTGGCTGAATCACTGGTGTCATCAAAGACAGAATATTGCTGGGTTTGCCAGTCTGCCCCACACACTATCCCTCTTATTTGGATGTAACCAGTGTACTCACAGGCCTCTCCAGAGACAGCAGGGAACATGCAGCTTCTGTCTGAACAGTGCTGTGTATCTCTTTACTTCAGATCTTTGAGTTTCTCTCATTTCAGGTCATACAAATGTGACCCAGTGTGACAGGCATTCAAAACGGACGCTGGACATTATCCTCACCACACCCTGCCCTCCCCATTCCCCCACCCACCTTATAATAGCCCTCTAACTATAAAAAAGAAAAAAGAAAGTTGAGTAGTACACTTCTAATCCTGTGTTCCTTGAGTCTACATTTTCTTAGAGTGCAAACAGGATGCCTTGGACTACTGATATGCTTTCCCAGCTGCCAATGCACAGTGGCATCCTCGGGGGGAGGAGTAAGGTCCCTGTTTCCTTGTGGAGCAGCCCCTCCCTCAGATGCTGTAGCTAAACATCCTTTGTCACTGCGAGCCGCAGCCCAGCTACAGTTTGGGCTACCAGATTGGGTTTTGCCCTATTGGTTGTAGAGAAGCAGCATGTTTCTTCTCCATCCAGCTCTTTAAAGACTTGAACTTTCCTCTTAGGTTTCTATTGTTGTTAAATTTAACATCACTGGGGCCAGCGCTGTGGCGTAGTGGGAAAAGCTGCTGCCTGCAGTACCAGCATCCCGTATGGGCACCGGTCCTAGTCCTGGCTGCTCCACTTTCGATCCAGCTCTCTGCTATGGCCTGGGATAGCAGTGGAAGATGGCCCAAGTCCTTAGGCCTCTGCGCATGTGTGGGAGACCTGGAGGAAGATCCTGGTTCCTGGCTTTGGATCAGTGCAGCTCCAGCCATTGTGGCCAATTGCAGAGCGAACCAGCAGATGGAAGACGTCACTCTCACTCTCTCTCTCTCTCTCTCTCTCCCTCCCTCCCTCCCTCTCTCCATCTTTCTCTCTCTCTCTCTCTCTCTCCCTCCCTCCCTCCCTCCCTCCATCTTTCTCTCTCTCTCTCTCTCTCTCCTCTCTGTGTGTAACTGACTTTCAAATAAGTAAATAAATAAATCTTTAAAAAAAATTACACCGTCAATCTTTATAGCCAACACATTCAGAAGACATGAACCTTCTGCACCACAAAAATATTACATTGATTCCTTGAGTAATCCCAAGGAAATCTATATTTGGGAGATAAACAGCCCTAATCCTTTCTATCCTATAAATATTGCTTCCAGTGCAAGCTGAAATACAGACTCATTTGTGGATTTCCAACAAAAGAATCAGCTTTTGTAGAGCTGAGTTTTATCCCAATTACCAGATCTCCTTAAAGAGAGCTTCCTGACCTGAACAACCACACTTCGCATACATAAAGGTATTTCTTAAGTCAGATACATCCACAGGTTGATAACCGTTGAGTTAGATTCCTAAGTGGAGTCCATAAAGAATTCACTGTGGAAGAAGGCCTAGATCTAACAAAGATGAACTTAAACCACAGAGCTATATCTTCAATGCAACTGTTGTAAATTAATGGTTTCCCACCACAAATGATCAATTTTATTGAGTGGCATCATAGATTCTAAAGCCAGATGTGCTATGTATTCAGGTGATAACAGAAGATGAATGTTTTCTGCATGTATCTTCCTGAATTTGCTCTTTATGAAATATGGGACAACTTTTCCCTTTGCTTTTGAGCTTATCAAAACCAAAACCAAAATACATAATCCATTCTTTACATGAAGCACATTCTGAATTCACTGAATTTTTTTCTATATTATAAATGCCAGGCTTTACATTTCGTATTCTCTAAGTCAAGATTCTTTGTAGTCTGACCTAAGCTATAAAGGAGATAAAACCGAGATTTCAGATACTGACTTAACACTGCTAAAAGGGATGGGGGTGGGGAGGTACTTGCTTCTCGAAAACAATTTGGTGCCTTAATTTTCCACAAAGTTCCCATCAGATGTTATCAAATTCAACACACTGCACAGATGGGAAAGACTGACTATTGAAACAATTAACTATTGTGAGTCATTTCCTCAATCTGCTTTTGTTGTAGCCAATATGTCAAGTGGTGACAGACACTGTTAAATTTCACAAGCTCTCCTGTCTTCTTGGAAACAGCATAACACAATTGACATAGCTCAGCTGGATAAATCTGCCAGACTAATGGTGGGGCCTCTCTCCTGTTGATTTTCAGTGCCAAAACCCAAAGATACTATGTAGAGCCCATTCAACAAGAAGAATACAAAGTCCATTTTATTCTGTCTGAAGACTCCTGCCTGATCACTTGCTGGCTCCTAGAATCCCTTTGTATTGAGGCTAACATGAACAAAATAAAAATTTTTTATTCAGTCTCCACAGTCTCAGAAAAAGACCATTATGGGGCATGAGTTGTGAGTTTCAGCTCTCAGCGACCTGGTGGACCACTCACTACTTTAAACAACTTTCAGATGATCAAGAGCTACTGTTCCAAATAAAACTAAACCAGACCAGTCTTGGATATATAACTGTACTACTCACGCGCATCATGTCATTTGCATGTCTAAAGATGAGGAAGGTAAAAGCCATGAGGTTTCTGTCGCATGATGGTCTTATTCCAAACAGGAAAAAAACTCCTGGGCAGCCTCTCCAACACAATCTTCCAACTCACTAACCAGTCCCTTAACACTCCCATCGTGTGCATGGCACACAGTCTACTACCTTCTAGAACGCATTTCTAACCAACTCTGGAAGAAAGCACAACAACTCCTCAGGCACTCAGGTTAGCCAGGAGCCAGGCCAAGGCCCACTCTCCAAGAACAGAGACGGGTTAGAGGATCTGACCCAGCTGCAGCAGCCAGCTCCAGGCGGATGACGAATTACCATTGCAGACATACAACAGCAACACCCAAGCCAAGATTGGACAGTGAACCTAACAGCTGGCATGCCAGAAAAAAATCAATAGCAGGGATACTGGAACTCATCAGAGAGACTACACAAACACAGCAAGAAAAAAAAAAATCACACAATCACACTGACTGGTCTCACTTAAAATTCATGACCACTGCTCTCAAATGGGTCTTTAATGTTCCTGGGAATCATACTACAATTCTCTAGCTTATTTTCTCACCCACTCCCATAGATGTTTTTTCACAACTCCCCACTTCTCAAACTTCTCCAATTACACCTGTCCCCTCCATTCAGATGACTTCCTTTCCCTTTCATTAAAAAAAGTGAAGCAACGAAAAAAGAATCTGCACAGATTTCTACCACCCTCTCTACCTACCCACCAACATCCGTATTCAGATAGCCTGGTTGTCCACATGCAAACATACTCTCCAAACACCTGTCAAAGCTAATCCTCTTCTCTGAGCACTTTTTTGATCTTTTGTTGTTTGGAGGCAAAATGGACTGAAAAACAGTTTGTGTACACCCAAAATACATATTTAGATCTTAACCCCCATTATGGTGATATTAAGAGGTGCAGCCTTTGGGAATTCACTAGGTTGTGAGAAGAGCCCTCATGAATGATATTAATATCCTCGTAAAAGAAGCCTCAGAAAACCCTCTCCCTCTCTTTCTACCACACGAGGATATAGCAAGATGGGCATCTACATCACAGAAGTGGGCCCTCCCCAGACCCCAAGCATGTCAACACTCTAATCTCCAACTTCCAGCCTCCAAAACTGAGAAAAATGAATTTCTGTGGTTTATATGCCACCAGGTCTACAGTACCTTGTTACAGCAGCCTGAACTGACTCAATCACGAAGGTATGTATCCATCAACTCACCAGCCCCCTTCTCTACCATCAAATCCCCCTTTCCACTGGGCCTTTCCCTCTTCATACAAACGTGGTATTAACTCTCCTATCTTAAAAGAAAATCTCCTATGTGTATATGTACACACACACAATTCTAGAGATTAACAGATCTTTAGAGAGCATCAGCTCATGGATCTCAAGCCCGAATGCACGTTAGAATCTCCTGGGGAGCTCTAACAGGAACAGCAGTGCCAAGGCTCCTGTTTTGCAAGAGGTTCTGATTCAGCTTGTCTGGGGTGTGATCCGGACATGGGTATTTTGTGCATTTCACATGATTCCAATATGCATCCAAAGTTGAGAAGCACTCGTTTAGCCTATAATTCTTGTTAAATGAAGTAACAAAAGTCCAGAGAGGTAAAGATAATTCATCACACTGCAGTGACAGAGCCAAGAAAAAAACCAGTACAGCTGATTCCCAGTTCAGTTCTCTTTTGTCAACATCAGACAACATGTGTCTCTGCCCCTCTCTCTCTCTTTCTCTCTCTCTCTTGCTCTCTCTCTGCCACACACACACACACACACACACTTATTACCAAAGAGCTCTGAATATCTCCAATAGGAATTTCTCATCTCCACCAAGGATCCTGGCCTGTTCGTCTTCGGTCACAACAGGCGACCCTGAAACCAGGATGCTGAGAAGGTGAGTGTCACAAGGGACATGAAGGAAACTCTGCCCTGGTACCCACAGCAGATGTTCCCGAAGTTTTGAGATGGTGAGGGCCCTGGGGGAAGGAGCCGAGGAGCAGCATGAGGTACAGTGTGATAAATGAAGCCGTCTCTTTCCTATTACAGGAACATAGCAACTTTCAAGAAACAAATCAGAAACCTAAAGTGATTAATTGTGTGGTCTGCAATGAGCCTGTTGTGTTTGTGAATCCCTTTGCTCGGCAGACCAGACGTACTCGTTGCAGAGAAACACCTGGGTATGATGGACCACGTGACTTTCACAGTAGCCCAGTCAAAAAGGATGAAGAGTGGTTTTGTTCACAGGGAGAACATAGGAAGGGAACCAAAGCTAGTGACAAAATTAGAATGGTGGAATAAAAACAAAAGCATCCCTTTAACATCAAGCCACGCCTCTGGCTTTGCTTCCTCTTTAACCTATCTGACATCAATGAGGAACAAAATACTCCAGTCTTGCCTGTCCCCAACCATTAATTCAACTGAGTTGGCAAAGTTCTCCAGAAGGAAGTTGTAGCTAAGCATTCGCAGTGACTTGCATAGCAGTTGAGCTCACGGGCTCCTGAATCCAAATATCATGTTTCCCGCTTACTATCCATGTGATACTGAACAAGCTATCTAATGATTCTGTGCTTCTCCATTGATCCCACTTATAAAATAAGGCTAGTAACACCTACCTTGTATTTCTGTGATGACTAAATGCAACGCGGATGTAACGTATCTGCAACAAATAGCAGTTATTGTTGCTCAGCAAGATAGCAAGGGAGATGTCTGTTGTTTTTCCTTAAGATGTTACAAGCACTTTAACAATACTGTTTGCAGACAGATGAGTATGTCAGTTACCCATAGTCACTGACCCTGCCTTTAAGAAGATGAGGTACGCTAATATTTAGTTAGCTGATTTTGTTGAAATTTAGATGCCGCATGGGTTGGTAGGAAGACCTTGATTCAAATACCAGCTCTATTGTTTATTAATTCTAAGCCTTGAAAAAGTTATTTACTCCCCCTATGCTTCATCTACTTTTAAAAAATTGGAAGAAAAATATCTCACTTTGAAGGTTGTTACAAGAATTAAATGACATCAGGTAAATTCCTATTATATAATAAGTATCCATAATAAAGGATAATTGACATTACAGCACATATATATTTTCAGGTAATTTTGTTTTCTGTTTTCACTAATTCAGAACAGCATTTCTCCAGATTGGCTTGAATTCACTATGTTTTGCCATATTGTTCTCCAAGTGAAACTAGATGGCAAGTGACCATCTCAGAGCAGCTCTGGGGGACAGCATTATGTAAAACAGATACACTGGCCGGCGCCGCGGCTCACTAGGCTAATCCTCCGCCTTGCAGCGCCGGCACACCGGGTTCTAGTCCTGGTCAGGGCGCCGGATTCTGTCCCGGTTGTCCCTCTTCCAGGCCAGCTCTCTGCTGTGGCCAGGGAGTGCAGTGGAGGATGGCCCAAGTGCTTGGGCCCTGCACCCCATGGGAGACCAGGATAAGTACCTGGCTCCTGCCATCGGATCAGCGTGGTGCGCCGGTCGCAGTGCGCTGGCCACGGCGGCCATTGGAGGGTGAACCGACGGCAAAGGAAGACCTTTCTCTCTGTCTCTCTCTCTCACTGTCCACTCTGCCTGTCAAAAAAACAAACAAACAAACAAACAAAAAACCCAGATACACTGTAGATGCAGCTCTTCTAAAAATATCCAGGAAGAAAATCTGAAATCTCTTCTAGTCACACCTCAAACCCAGAGAGGGAGGAAGCTCTCACATTTCTCTTCTCTATGGGAAAACAATTGGGTTTAGCTAAATTGAAATCAAGGAAGAAAAAAAAAAAAGGCAGAGAGCTATGTAAAACAAACTATATACTGGTATGCCTGGATTTCAAAAATCTGGGGGCATCAAAATAAACATCTTGTAATTCTATTTTTCACAAACTTTTTCAGTTTATTTATTTAAAAGGCAGAATGATAGAGTGGGGGAGAGAGAGAAGGAGGGAGGGAGGGATTACCCATAGCAGCTGAAGCTGGGCCAGGTTCATGTCAAACCCAGGAGCTCAGACAGGTCTCCTATATGGTTTTTAAGGACCCAGACGCTTGGGCCATCATCTGCTACCTCCCCAGGGCAATAGCAGGAAGCTAGACCGGAAGCAGAGTAGCTAGAACCCAAACCAGACAGTCCCGTATGGAATGCAAGCATCCCAAGCAAGGACCTAATCCACTGCCTCACAACACCCACCCTCCACAAATTTTTTGAAATATCCCTTTACGTCAAGTGTTTCCAAATATGTGGGAGGAACACTGGTGAGGCTGGTGCAGTGACATACCTGTAAAGCCGTCAGCAAAGCAGTAAAGCAGTGCAAGCATCCCATATGGGCTCTGGTGTAAGTCCCAGCAGCTCCACTTCTGATCCAGCTCCCTGCTAGTGCATCCGGGAAAACAGTGAAAGATGGCCCAACTTCTTGGGCCCCTGCACCCACGCAGGAACCCTGAAAAAAGTGCTGGCTCCTGGCTTTGGACTAGCCAAACCCCCAGGGTTTTTGCTGCCATTTAGGGAGTGAATCAGCCAATGGAAGGTCTCTCTCTTTCTCTCTCTCTCTCTCTCTCTCTCTCTCTCTTTCTGTCTCTCCTTCTCTATAATTCTGACTTATAAATTAAATCTTAAAAAAAGAAAACTAGCACATTAAATGTCTCTAGTTTCTTTAGCTTCTAAAACAGCAAAGAAAGTTAAATTAGGTTGATTTCTTTCTTGAAGAGGTCATTACCAACAATGGGACCACACCATCTCTAAAAGCAAGACTTGAAACACATAAAACACATTAAGATGTTTTTACACAGCCTGCCATGCCTATTTCAAAAATACTCTAAATCTGACAGTGCCATAGGCCGGGTTCCCTGGAAGCAGACACTGAAACAAAAATTCTTGAGCAAGTGGTTAAGAAAGGGTTCTCTCCCCACCCCCCCGCCCCGCCCACTGCCACATGGGATCAGGGAGAGACCAGAGATGCCAAAGAGGGGAAGTACTGTCTGCTCCCTGGAGGGCAGCTCTGGCCTACCCTCACAAGGTAACTCTGGAGAGCTCATTGCACCGGACAGTGGTCCCAGTTAAATGCAAAGGAGCGAGGGCTTCGCTACAGATACCCAGTCACTCACAGGCCAGGGGCATCCTGAGGGGGAGACACAACCTCCCAGGCACCTCCTGCTCCCTGCAGCAATCGTCCCCTGAGTCTCACTGGCCCTCGGGAGTCAAAACACATACACACACTGGGAGGGAAGCCTACGGAAACAGGAAAAGGCAGCTTCATGGAGCAGGGTGAGGACAAGAGGGAAAAACAAAGAGATCAGACACTGTCGGTGTCCTCTCAAGTATTCTGAAGTAATTTCTCTCATTATACTCCAGTTTTTCAACCATGGATGTTATAAACAGAAAGCAGAAATAGTGAGACATACATTCCCTTCTGTGAGCACTGTTACTGTCAACCCAACCTAGATGAACATCAATTCAGCCAGGAGCAAGCGACTGTGTCCACACTGCAGACTTTCAACGTGCTTATGGTTCATTCAGTGTGCTCAGACAGGCTGTTTCATATGGAGACTCGCTGTTATTTAGACTATGATAAGAAGAGATCACACAGTTCACAGGTGTAACAGCGATTCCTTACATTAAATTGCCTATACACACACTTTGAATAAGCAACTACACCGTGTTTCTAAGTCTTTTTTCCAATGTCACTTTGTTCCAGTTCTCTGTTAAAATGTCATTTTATGTCTGCTGAAACTAAAAAATTGGGTTTGTATGTCTTACTTTGTTTCTCTTGTTCTTTGTTTTTATTTCGTCTGATACAATGGTCAGCCCTATCTATGACAGACTGGTAATTTTTAAAAAGTTGGTTCCGGCCACACAGCCAGTTTGAGAAGCATCGTCTACCCAAGAGGTCTTCTCTCCCCGGGGGAGGCAAGTTCAGCCACAGGGGCAGGGGCAGAGAGCTGGAAGAAAGGCGGAAGGAAGACGCGAGCCCACATTAATAATAATGATACCATAATAATACCGACCCTGTCTGAAACACGGTAACACACGAATCCAGGTAGGATATGAAGTCAGCTTCATAAATTATGGAACCTAAGTCAAGATTGCATTTGTTCTGCAATGATTGGAACATGGTTTCCCAGGACCGCAACTAAAATCAAAGATGAAACAGTCGCGGCGCCACCTTGTGGCCAGATCCACCCATACCAGGTCTCACTGTGCCTGCATCCATCCTGTCCCAAAGAGCAAGCCTTTCCCTTCTCGCGCCCCTGCGTATTTGGAGGAACTCCAACACCCTTTCTTTTGAAAACCGGACTCTGCCTGCCCGTTTACCCTCCCAGCAGAGCTGTGGGTGGTGAGAAGGGCTTTCCATCGGCCTCTTCAATCATGGGACAGAAATATTCCACTCCTAAGGCTGAAAGGAACCTCTCTGGGGAGCAGAGGCTTTTGTTCCCGCATGCAGCTGTTTCTCTCCATAGGTCATGTGTCCAGAAAGTTGATGAGACAGGAAGAAGCCTGGGGGCCGGCCTAGGATTAGCTTCACCTTGTTCAGCAAGTGGATGGTGTGTGGGGAGGGCTTTTGCTGCAAGTGCTGCCGCATGGTGCTGTTTGAAGGAAATGTGGGTGGCGAGGACTTGAGGAAGTTATCTGTTCCTTGTTCTTGTTTTCAAGCTGCACTACACAAAGCAGGCTAGACACAGGAATGGCAATTCTTTTTTTTTTTTTTTTTTTTTTGACAGGCAGAGTGGACAGTGAGAGAGAGAGACAGAGAGAAAGGTCTTCCTTTGCCGTTGGTTCACCCTCCAATGGCCACTGCGGCCGGCACGCTGCAGCCGGCACACCGCGCTAATCCGATGGCAAGAGCCAGGTGCTTCTCCTGGTCTCCCATGGGGTGCAGGGCCCAAGCACTTGGGCCATCCTCCACTGCACTCCCTGGCCATAGCAGAGAGCTGGCCTGGAAGAGGGACAACCGGGACAGAATCCGGTGCCCCGACCGGGACTAGAACCCGGTGTGCCGGCGCTGCAAGGCGGAGGATTAGCCTAGTGAGCCGCGGCGCCGGCCGCAATTCATTTTCAATGTCTTTTTCCAACCTTTCCTGGAGACTTAAGTAAATTATCACTCATATCCAGAAAAATGAAAATAAAAACCATATAAAGAGACAATCTCTTTTTCAACTTTGAATGATACATTCATTTACTTTTTGCTGGATTTTTTTTTTTTTTTTGTAATTTTGGTCATCATTTAAGGCCACCGACAGATCTCTAGCTTTGGGTTGCAAGTGACAGAAATACAACCCAGGCACCCTGAGAACAGAGGTAAAAATGGAATGGATCCACTCACCTGACTTGAATTCTGCAGAGACTTCAGGCGCAGCTGGATCCAGTGGCTTAAGCAAAGCCCTGGGTATCTGCCTTTCTCTCTGTCTCATAAACTCCTTTTATACATAGCTTTGTTTTGAAGACAGGCTTTCTCCATCTGCAGAGGTAATGACACAGCAACAGAGTAGTCACATCTCCACCTCCAGCATCCTGACCTCAAAAAACCACAAAGTATTCTTCCATGGTCACTAAAGCAGAGTGGCCTGAGAGAAAACCATTCCCGGGAGCAGCGCTGTGGCACAGTAGGCTAAGCCGCTGCCTGCGGTGCCAGCTTCCCATATAGGCGTCAATTCGTGTCCCGGCTGCCCCTCTTCCAAAACGGCTCTCTGCTATGGCCTGGGAAAGCAGCAGAAAATGACCAAATGCTTGGGCCCCTGCACTCATGTGGAAGACCCAGAAGAAGCTCCTGGCTCCTGGCTTCAGATCAGCGCAGCTCCAGAGACCCGGAAGAAGCTCCTGGCTTTGGACTGGCTCAGCCCCAGCAGTTGCAACCATTTGAGGAGTGGAAGACCCTTCTCTCTGTCTCTCCCTCTCTCTGTCTGTAACTCTGCCTCTCAAATAAATAAATAAATAAATCATTTTTTTAGATTTTTTATTTATTTATTTGAGAGGCAGAGTTACAGACAATGAGAGAGAGAGACAGAGAGAAGGGTCTTCCTTCCGTTGGTTCACTCCCCACATAGCCGCTACGGCTGGTGCTGCGCCGATGTGAAGCCAGGAGCCAGCTGCTTCTTCCTGGTCTCCCATGTAGGTGCAGGGGCCCAAGGACTTGGGCCATCCTCCACTGCCTTCCCGGGCCACAGCAGAGAGCTGGACTGGAAGAGGAGCAACCAGGACTAGAACCCAGCACCCATATGGGATGACGGCGCCGCAGGCAGAGGATTAACCAAGTGAGCCATGGCACCAGCCTAAATAAATCTTTTTTTTTTTTTTAAAGGGGGAGGGAGGTTGGAGGGCTGGTATTGTGGCGTAGCCAGTTAAGCTGCCACCTGCAGTGCTGGCATCCCATATGAGAGCCAGTTTGAGTCCAGGCTGCTCCACTTCCGATCTAGCTCTCTGCTGTGGCCTGGGAAAGCAGCTAAGGATGGCCCAAGTCCTTGGGCCCATGCACGCATGTTGGAGACCTGTAAGAAGCTCCTGGCTCCTGGCTTCGGATCAGCTCAGTTCCAGAGACCCAGAAGAAGTTCCTGGCTTTGGATAGGCTCAGCTCTAGCCATTGTGGCTATTTGGAGAGTGAACCAGCAGATGCAAGATCTCTGTCTGTCTCTCCCTCTCTGTAACTCTTTTAAATAAATAAAATAAATCCTAAAAAATAAAAAAGAAGAAATGGGCGTAAAATGTCTTGATGCCCAGCTTTTAAAAAAGGAAAAGAAAGAAAGAAAGAAAGAAAGAAAGAGAGAGAGAGAGAGAGAGAGAGAGAGAGAGAGAGGGAAGGGAAGGGAAGGGAAGGGAAGGGAAGGGAAGGGAAGGGAAGGGAAGGGAAGGGAAGGGAAGGGAAGGGAAGGGAAGGGAAGGGAAGGAGAGACATTCTCTTTTTAAGATTTATTTGTTTATTTGAAAGTCAGAATTACAGGGGCTGGTGCTGTGGCATAGGTTAATCCTCTGCCTGAAGCGCCTGCATCCCATATGGGTGCCGGTTCTAGTCCCAGCTGCTCCTCTTCCAGTCCAGCTCTCTGCTGTGGCCTGGGAAAGCAGTGGAGGATGGCCCAAGTCCTTGGGCCCCTGCATCCACATGGGAGACCCGGAAGAAGCTCCTGGCTCCTGGCTTCAGATCAGCTCAGCTCCAGAGACCCAGAAGAAGCTCCTGGCTTTGGATAGGCTCAGCTCCAGCCATTGCGGCCCTTTGGGGAGTGAACCAACGGAAGGAAGACCTTTCTCTCTGTCTCTCCCTCTCACTGTCTATAACTCTACCTCCCAAATAAATAAATAAAATCTTTAAAAAAATAAAAAAGAAAGAAAGAGAGTGGGAAAGACAGAGACAACAGATCTTCCATCTACTGGTTCACTTTCCAAAAGACCACAACAGATGGGGCTGAGCCAAGCCAAAGACAGCAGCCAGGAACTTCATTCCATTGCTTTTCCCAGCCATTAGCAAGGAGCTGGATCAGACCTGCAGCAGCGGGGCCGTAGCTGTGGCGTAGTGGGTTAAACTGCCGTCTACCGTACCTGCATCCCTCATGGGAGCCAGCTGCTCCATTTCGGATCCAGCTCCCTGCTAATGCATCTGGGAAAGCTACAGAGGACAGCTCCACTGCTTGGGCCCCTACACCCATGTGGGAGACCCAGAAGAAGCCCCTTGCTCCTGCTTTTGGCCTAGCCAAGCCCCAGATATTGCAGCCATTTGGGAAGTGAACCAGTGAATGAAATCTCTCTCTGTCTCTCTGAATCTTTCTCTGTCTCTCTCTCTCTGTCTCTCTCTCTTTCTCTCTGTATAACTGGTTTCAAATATATAAAATAAGTCTTTTTTTAAAAAGGAACATCTGTGGGCAAAATCCTTCCTGAATCAGGATATCAAAAAGGAATTTACTTTCCTATTGTCTCTATATGGTAATTAAGGCCCAAGCTGTGTAACAAAAAGAGCTATTTCCTCACATGCTGAAGAATATTCTCAGCTGTTGAGACCAACTATCCCTCCAGGGCGATCTGGAAGGCATAGAGACAGACCCAGCCCTGTGGCAACCACCAGCCCACCCTCCATTTAAAGAAGGCTGTAGGAGGGAACTCAGTTTGGTGGGGTATATGGGCCTGGGGTAAGACATTTCTCTCTCCCCAGAGTCACAGCCCCACCTCCTCTCTGTCTGGTCAGAGGCACCCAGAGGCAGGTCCCTCATTCCCAGGGGAAGGAGCTCAGCCTGCAGGAAGCAGGCTCAGGTAGCACTGGGCCACATGAGTGTTCGGCTCATAACATAAAGATTTGCTACTAAATGCATCATTGTTCACTTGTCCCAGCTCTGTACAATGATTTGCAGTCATTTAGGTCTTACAGAGAAAAATGGTTACAGACTTGTCCCCAAAGTCTAACCGAGAATGCTAAGAACTCCTGCCAGGAAGGATTTCACATTGCTCAATGACTTTCTGAGTGGAGTATACCATTCAAGGTTGACACTCTTCGAAGACACAATCAATGGCAGCACAGAACTCAGAGATTTACCTGAATCATGGTTTCTGTGCTATCCACTCAGTACATGCCAAACACGTCCTGTTATACATGTACATACACACACACACATCTTCCACACCTACTACTTAGCACACTATCTGGCCCATAATAACAATAGCCAATGTTTATCATTTACCAAACCCCATACCAAGCACTTTATAAGAAGTATACTATTTAACCCTGCCAACTACACTAGAACTATAATTATTCTCATTTAACAGATGAGAAAGAATTCACATGTTGATCTTTTTACTTATCTCTTATTTCACCACCATCTGTAAAGAAGCTATTACTATTCATATCTTTTAAACAAGGAAACTTGAGACAAAAGGAATTAAGTAATGAATCACCAAGGCCATCGTCTGGCAGGTGTCTAAGCATAGATTTGAAACCTGGGAGTGTCTAACTCTACAATCCATGCGTTCTCCTTTGCAAGCCACCTGCTTCCCAAAAGTAGCTTGCCAATACAAATCCAAAACCTAGTGACCAAAAAGACATTTAAAGGAAAGAGAAGTGTGATGCATCAGAAAGCTGAGATGAGTTAGTTGTTACAATTGAGTATTAACTTACCGATAAAACTCTGCAAGACAACTAGAGCAAAAATTACCAACATTGAACTAATCCTCTGAGTCAGTGAACAACAGCTTCATTGGAGAGTCAACTTTCTACACCCAGAATATTTATTAGATACCTAAGAATGGATGTGCAATGTCCTATTCTGACACATCAGAAAGGTGTATTTACTCTAAATACATGTATCCATGTGAAGCTCCCAGAACTAGTATAGAATAAACAAACAGATTTCACCCATATCACAGGATTCACCCCACCACAGAGTTCACAATAGTGGAAAAGTGGCAGAGAAAGAGGAACAAGAGAAGGAACAAGAGGGAGGAGTGAACACTTCTAACATATCGCATCATCCTATCACATCCCCTCAGTAGCTTTGTGAAACAAGTGTGAATGAATACCATTTTACCCTTGAGAATGCCAAAGGTCAACTAATAACTTCAATAGGATTTGCCATAATAATAATTAGAGGAATACCATTTAGCCTAAATCTGTCACTCTTGTTTCTGAGAGGTCAGAAGACAGGCATGTGGACCCTGCTCTCCTTCTGCTGCTTGTGAGACTGATCTGAGACTAGTCACAAAAGCTTTCTTGATATGGGAGTCGTTGTGGTAAAAGGACTCACTAGGAAGCATGGAGAGTGAAAATGAAATAATGGGTAGAAAACCTCTTTGAAAAACAGTCTTATTGCTTCCTATTCATCTTCCACAGCTTAGTTCAATGTCATTTCCTCAGGGAAGGCTTCCTAACCTTCTTGACGAGACTCGATCCCTATAGTGTACCTTGTCCTTTGCACACCTCATTAGAGTCACAACTTTACACCGATGTGCTTACTCAGTGGTCTTTCTGGCTCTCCAGCCAGTAGCTCCGTGAGGGCAGAAACGCACCTGCTTCTGCTTGCATTGTTAGAACTCCAGTGCATAGAGCAGAGTCTGGCTCTTAGTAGGCACAGAATATTTGTGGATTAAATTAATCCAGCTATTTGTGTTATCATAAAGTATATAATCATAATTTATAAAACATCACTATAAACAGAAAATTAACACCTTACTTATGACTTAGGTGTCACACTTTCTAGTCACTCCAAAAATCTAGTACTTTCTAGTTATCCTCATCATCAGGAAAAAAAAAAATCTTCCATGGGGAAAATGACCGTCATAAAGTCCACACACTTGACTCTTCAGGAGAGGTGGACCGACCCTTGAGCCATCATTCTGACAATTGGCACGAAATAAGGCAGTGGACGACAGGGGCTACAGCACTTAACAACTACCAAAGCAATAGCCAACAATCGTAGGAGGAGGCAGAGGGGAAAAGTGTAGGCTGGCCTTCCCTCCATCGTGGCGGTACAGACATTTAATGGAGGG